GTATCATGTCGAACGCATCAACCGAGAGCTCTCAAGCAGCGACAGAATGACGATAATCCAGCAACTTCAGCACTTCCTGAAGAATGGAAAATTGCAGACTGGTGCATACAAGCAGGTAGCTGTACTACTCAACATGGATCCACGCACAGTCGCCAAGGTATGGCGCAACTTTACTCAACACGGAACTACATCATCGAAGAAAGCCGGCCACGTTGGACGGAAGCCAACATATTCCCCTACCATGGTTCAAGAGATCGTAAAAGCACTGCCGGAGGCTGTCATGCTTTTGGTCCTTCAACACTCCGGGGGTAATGAGTTTGCATTACCTCACCTGAAAAAGGCATCGTTGAGACGCGCTGGTCTCTTGATGTCCAATGTGTCATGTCCTCTATCACTGCTTGTGTAGGTCAGTATTATTGACCAATAAAATCATTGCATACATAATTGAGCCAATCATATCAAAAAATGCACAGTAATGTGGAACAATAGCATTTTTCAAAATGACACAGTAATACGGAACAGAGGAAGTAGTATATCCGGTTAAAACCACTAACACCTCCCTTGACAATGAGCTAATTGCGACACCTACAGCAATTAGCTCACATGGTGGAGCGCCCGTTTGACGTGTGGGAAGCCTAGGGTTCGATCCCCGGTGTCGACATGTAAATCAGTGTGCGCTGGGACCTTAGCACGACTGCCGTTACATCCCCTGTGAGCTTCCAGTAGTTTCGTAATCCTGGAAACTAGTTATGGACAATGTACAAATCTATTGTTGTTACCCAGATCTTATAGTCATCGGATATTTCATGTATTCAATCACAACACGGATATCTGATATGATGATGACCACGCATCTTCTCCATTTTTGTCAGAAGACAAATGCAAATTTAAACCTCTGGACATGTTGAAATTAACACTATCGTCAATATTCATGATGTCGTCTTCCACCAACTACACCGACTTGGTGTTGGTCGACTCGGCGGATCCAAGGCACAGCGGCGAGGTCCAATACATCACTGAAGCACGAATGATTAAAGGCAGGAACAGTACCGCGTTGTATGGGCTCGACCTCACTTGTGTGGCCGAAAACAATCCTGGGTTTATGCCAACCTACTGGAGAAGTGCCCACAAGCAAGCTTCAACCGTTGGCAAGACTACTGCAAACAACACGGCGAGTGCACATCGTTTGCCACGTTCCTTTCCCACGACGCTCATGGGCTGGATTTTGCGACGATGGGTCCAACACGTATTTGATTACTGCCTTTCGAATTGCTGCACGTCTCCTTAAACAGCATTTGACCGTGAGTGATGACGACATGGCAGCCTATATGGAGTCCAATGGCATTTCCGTCAACGGCTGCTATTGTTGGAATCGAGCGGCAACCCAACCATTGATTTGTGTGCGACGCTTCGACGAGTCGGCGAAAGTGTACAGAGATCCCTCAATTTTTGCTCCCAGTCAAAAGTATAAATTGTAACAGACAAAACCAAGGACAAAGTGACACAAAAATCAATTTATAAAGGGAAACTTCCATGTCAAGATCAGGAAACCGCGGGCGATGAAAGTTCTTTCGAGTCTTAGCTGACTCATCCTTTATGTTGTAGGAGATCGTTGTTCTTTCGTCCTTGATGATGTGTCGGATGGTCGCAGTGTGTCCGAACTCATGTGATGCCCACGTTTGGAGTTCAGACGACTTCAGAGGCGCGTGAGCTTTAAAGTGTGCTCTAATTAAGTACTTCTGATGATGGCCAATCGCTTGCTTCCCGCTGTCTTGTTGTGCTGCATTTTCTAAAGTATCTTGCACTACGTGGAGCAAATGCGGCCTCACATTTTGAATTTTGAATCACCAAGCATCAAATTCAAACCATGTTCAAACCATCCCAGGAAACTGATATCAAATAATGTTAAAGAAGATATTCATTTTCAGTAGAGAGCAAAAATTGAGGGATCTCTGTATACTTGTTGACCTCGGTAACGCAATATATCGCGCACTGCTGGATCGTACACTGCGATGGCTACTTTACGACCTTGTTCGACAGCGCAGGTGCGATAGCCCTTGGCGAATTTCCTGCGGTTGACTTCATTCGGACTATACGCCGGATTTCTCCCTACAAGAAGAAACGGTACCACAAACGAAGGCGTAGCAACGAGCATGCAATGATCATCTAATGCATTTATCTTGTTCTGTTCGTCGAGTTCTTTGAATGCACACCACCGCGGGAACATCTTCATCTCCCAGGGCCAGGGCCGTGTCGAGCAGCGTTTCACCTTGAAAGAAAGCCTTCAATCGTTGCGTCCTGGACATGCTCAAGCAACGCCTTCACAAGGTCTGCATTCGAGCACCCAACTGGAGCCGTGTACCCCTGCGCGTCGACAGCGTTGATATCTCTGGGGTGATGTTGAGCAATTGGTGCACGCTCCGTTTCATGTCGAGGCATACTTGAGCAGTGTACAGCCCATGTCATCGACGACGCCAATCAGAATGACACCAACGACGATATGATGAACTCGTATTCTTACTGCCACTTGGGCATCCAATTCAACACGACAAGTATCACCCAAACGACGGCGGCTGCGCGCACGACACACCGGCTTGAGGCGGAAGGCACACTCCTTGCGCTGCTGGCTATCCCATGGTACGGCCACAAGGGTTTCTACCAGCGCTTACATGGACTGGGAAACAATGACATAGACGACGAGGTGGTGGACGAGCGACACGTTATTCAAATATAGGTTGGCCGAGGCGAATTCAACGATGTCGTTGGGCGGAATGCTGGTCGGTTGTTCTCGTCCACCGTGGGGGACGCCGCGAGTGGGGCTTGTTTGAAATCACACCTCGGGCGTCATGTGCAGGAGCAGATCCGGCAGTTTGTACACGACGACGGCGTTCGCAAAAGACTTGCATTCGCTACAAACAACAACGTTTCGGTGACGTTCCAGGTCTAGACGACGTTGCAGGGTTGCGATTTCCGACGACAGTCTATTCTCGCTGCCCATGCAAGCAC